TAGATAAATTATTTTCATCTTCCCTCTTGCTTTCACAGACGCCAGAATGAACGAGTTCACAATAACGTTCATCAGGCAATAATGCAGTACGTTCAGTTCACGTTAACCCAAAATATGAACGAGTTCATGAACTTTCGTTCAATGAACGCGTTCAGGCACAACACTGCTAACATGGTTTTTAGTTGTACAGTGTGAGCAGGTAGATCGCATTAGAGAGTCGGACCAAACATAAATCGTGAGCTGTGAACTCACACTGTATGACTAAACCCTGCGGTTTAGTCGTACAGTGAGCAGTAGCTGCGTGCAACGACTGAAAAATTTGCACAATGTACGTCCCTGGCTTAATGCAAGACAATGCTAGACCTCATGAGGCTGGAGTGTGTCAGCAGTTCCTGTAGAATGAAGGCACCTCATTAGGAGCATGCCAAGGCATTGTAGGGAGGTCATACAAGCACGTGGGACCAAAACACAATACTGAACCTCATTTTGACCTGTTTTAAGGACATTAAATCAAAGTTCCAATGAGCCATTCCAAATCCAGACCTCCATTGGTTAATAAATTTGATTTCCATTGTTGATTATTTGTGGGATTTCGTTGTCAGCACATTCAGCTTTGTACAGAACAAAGTATTAAACAAGAATATTGTACTCTTTCAGATTTAGGATGTGTTATATGAGTCTTCCTCTATTTTTTGAGCATTGTATATAGTTTTATCATGCTAAATCATTCATAATTGTATATTGGCCAGTTTGTGTGCTCTACCTGAAGGTTCCTGTTTTAGGTCCCGCTGGCAGTTAATGAAGCAGCCACATGGCATATGGATCCAGCGCTCAGACAGCACGAATAGGGGAGTGATCGCAGGTGCAAGCAGAGTCAGAAAGAAGCTCAGAGTCTCCAGTGAAGAGCTGCGAGCATCCGCTGCATGCCGTATGAGGACTAAAGTCTGTGAAAGCAAGAGGGAAGATGAAAATAATTTATCTAGAACTACGTTATGCAAAATGCATGAGGAGGAGGCAGGTAAGTAAACACATGAATGATTAAAAAAAATTACACCCAACCTTCAACAACAAAAGATGTTTTACTTTCTTTTTATTTTATTTTAAACAGCTTCCTGACCAAAAACAATCATATATTAATATTTTATTATTTCTTTCTAGCTTTTATAATAACGAACAGCTGTTTCGTTACCTGTGAACACTAGAGTCTGCAAATAATACAGCATGTCACAAAAAAGGATTGGAAACTGTCTTTCTTGCAATGGAGGAGACATGGCACTCACTCATTTACCTGGTGAAAGACTGGAGTGCATTGTGACTAAGCAGAGATCATTAACCTTAACCAACTATGGCTACAAGAGGCAGAGCCAGATTATAGTGGTGCTAATTAGGGGCTGGGCGATATATCGAATATACTCGATGTATCAAGTTTTTCCCCACACAACAGTTAAAATGACTCTGTCACAACCATAGATTACAAATTCGTATGATAACATTAAGCCATACTTTGAATGCATTTTATTCCCCTCCTCCAAACTGGATTATTTACTGCACAGCAAGCACACTACACGCACTATAAGCAGTGCGCACAATACAGCAACCGCCAAACTATTTATAAGCTAAGGACGTTGAACAAAAAGCGGTATTTTTAAGACGTGTCGCAAAACCATTGCTGCAAAAAGGAGCAGTATCACAAATTTATTCCACCATCCAAAAAGTCATCCACTACTACTAAATAAAGAATGTTGTAAACACCGTATGTCAGCATCTCCCCGCACGACCAATTAAAACGTTAAATAAATCAGCTGTGAAGCAGATGACATTAGCCTTGTCGTTTGAAAAAGCGATCCCATATGAGAGAAAAATAGATGGAGGGAAATCACAGAGACTATTTATTACATTATTTAAATGTTCTTTAGATGCTCAAATACCAGTGATGTGGTCTTGTTCAGAGGTTTTGCAGACATTTTCTAAACTTGGCAATGTTCTCCATTTTACATCTTTTTGGGGGTTCTCTAAAATTCCCAGCATGTAAAGGGCAATGCAAATAGTTTAGAGATGTTCTAACAATGCTCCAATTTTTGGACAGAATTGTGACTTTTGTTTTTTGTAATTTGAAGTCAATTTGTTATTTTTTGCATTCTGTATTTTTTTCAAATGATGCACAAAGAGGCATTTTTTATTTATTTAGTATTGTGTGTTTTTGCTTTGTTTCCTGTTTGGCTGCTGGTATCTTGTTAAACTGACACTGAAAAACATAATTTGGCAGTATTACTTGTGAAAAGCTTTGAGCTGGTTAAAATAAAATATTTCAGATTTGAATCCACAAGTTTGAATGAGTATATCAGTGCAATTTTATGCACTGTATTGTTTTTCAAGGTAATTTAAACATATTGTGATATATATCGTGCATCGCAATTATAGCCCAAATATATCATATTAGATTTTTTTCATGTCGCCCAGCGCTGATGCTAATGTGTGTTGAAAGCCGCACTTTCACACCGTGGACCATTTCTGCTTACACCTTGGAGAGTGACCCCAAACAGGTCGACCAATCACAGTGCATATATTTGTTCAAAATAGCCTTTTTATTTGACCGACAACACCTCAGTAGTTTAGCGTCAATACATCTATAAGCCTGCAGCCTATTTTTCTGAATTTACTTCGGGTTAGAAGTGTTTACGGATTGTTTTGGAGGTTTTTGTGAGGACCCAAATGCAGAGGCTGAGAGGCAGGGGTGAGTTCTTAGAAGATTTAATGGGATAACACAGGTAGCAAAAACAGGTATCCAAAAATCCAACATAAAAATTGAACACTAACCAGTACCATGGAGATATCAGGGGAAAACTATCACAAGGAGCCAGGGTGAGACAAAGCAAAACAGGGAACCAGCACTGAAGGACTGCAGAGGGAGTGTATTTATGGCTGACTGAACAAAGGCAGGACTAACAAGCTGATAAGGAGCAGGTGTGAGTAGAGCTGAAGAGGAAGCCAAGTGAAAAGAAAACACAAGGGGGCAACAGAGGACAGACAAAGAAATACCTAAGAAACTTAAATAAATCCAGAACACACCAACAAAGATAGAAAACAAAGAAAAACATGGATAAATGTGCAACTTAGAGAAAATCAACAGAACCAAGATCATTACAAAAAGTTCCTATTATGTTCAGCACATGACTTGTAATGCATCCATGTTAAATGGGCTTGACCTATCAACCATTCATAGCTTTATATTCAAGATGACTCAGATGGAACCGGCGCACAGCCTAACTCAAACACCAATGGTAAGGTGTAAAAAGAAAGTGTAGACTAGGTCTGCAGTTCTGTTTTCTGTTCTTTAAAGTGGAAGGGTTAACCCCGAATAAAAGCAAGAGCTGCTGAATCTACAGCAGCGCCAACATAATCATGGAAACGAATGAGAACACATGCATAGCAGCTGCTATCATGACTGTGTTGCCAGAATGTCCTATTACTGTACATCTTTGAAAGAGGGTCACAGCGGGACTGGTACCTATATTCAGCAATCTATATTTGAAAGGTAGGGTATATACTGGATATGTCCCAAATAGAGCACAATCGATATGGGATTTTGGAGCTTTAAAAAAACTGTATCCAATATTGGTCGATAACTGATATATATATCGGCCAGAATATTTTAAAAAACTTAACATGGACATGCCCAGGATATGCACTGTCCAACTATAGTCCAACTCTATTTCTCATATTCACACTTAAGAATAGTTTTACAAAATCACAGTTTACCCTGGAGTAAACTGCTACCTCTTCGTTCAACTCCATGCTTACGCTAGCAGCAGCTGTGAGCATGTATGTTTGCAGGGAGGGGCAGTGCAAAGAGTTCACTGCTCTCTGTTAGTGGAGGGAAGGCATGGAGCAGCTCAGTGCTGAGGAAGGGAGGAGCAGAATTAGTGTGCAGCAGAAGTTTTTTTTTGCTATTTAGTAGTGTTGCGCCGATGCCATTTTTTGGCCCCGATACCTGGCTGTGCAGTATCGGCCAATACCGATAACATAATAATGTAAAATAATTGCCATCATGGCTTTGTCAAGCTGCTGCCTACCTTTGTGAAGCAGGAAAAAATCTAATACAAAGTAAATCCAGTAGAACTGTTTATTGCCTACCAGGAGTGGGTGACAATAGTTGATTAAAACTTATGGCTCTCAAAATGGTATCGGTGCCCTATTTGTTGGTACTCGCCGATACCGATACCACCATTTTAGGGCAGTATCGGGGCCCCGTCCGATACTGGTATCGGTATCTGTGCAACACTACTATTTAGCCAATGTCGATTAATGAGCCAGATTCTAAAATCCGGTCCGATTAATCAGCCTGTCGATTAATCAGTCTAGCTCTAGTCACCAGTGTATTGGCAGAGACATTCAACCATGCACTTACACACTTATGCCTAAGGGAAAACTTCTAGAGATGCTAGTTACCAAATAGTCATGTTTTTGGACTGTGGGAAGATGTTGACGTACCCGAAGAGAACCAATATATGTATGAGAAGAACATGCAAATTCCATGCAGACAGACCCTAGACTACGAATTAAACCCAGGACTCTCTTTCTGCACTTCGCAGGCACAGAAGCAATCTAATTTTTATTAATTTGCCAAAATCAAGCCATTTGCCTCACTCTGCTTTGCTTCAAAGTTGCCCTCTATATAGGGATAACATTAAAATCCTCCTGCTGTGAAATTTGTGTTCAATGTTAGCGTACTTTAAGTGTAAAATGGTCGTATAGCCCCACAGGTCAGCGGCACTGGAACCCCCTAGGGAGCAGTGCTGGCCCCTGTCCTCTTCACCTTATACACCTCGGACTTCTGTTACAATTCAGAGCTGTGTCACATACAGAAGTACTCAGATGACAAACCCATTGTGCGGTATGTCAGGGACAACAGAGAGGAGGAGTACAGGAGTTTGGTGGGGGACTTTGCCACCTGGTGCCGCACCAACCACCTGGAGCTCAAGATCTCCAAGATGAAGTAGCTGGTCATAGACTTTGGGAAGAATGGACCAGAGAGTAAGCCAGTACTACTGGAGGGGGGTGAAGTGGAGCCTTTGGATTTATAAAAATACCTTGGGGTGTGGCTGGATAATAAGCTGGGCTGGTCAACACACAACAACCACCTGCACAGGAAGACACAGAGCAGGATGTACTTCCTGAGGAGAATGAGGTCGTTCAACATCTGTAATAGTTATAGTTAGGTGAGCTCTATAGTCTGGAAAATACGGTATATTGCATGATTTTTCACATGTTGCATGCTGCTTATCATGGAACCTTTATAAAATATATATATTTATAAAGACAATAATATTTATTAAAAAAATTTAAACTGCTCACAGTATATACTCATATGAAAACTGACCATCTATATATACCTACACACTTCTATAGTGGTAAACATTTATTTACAAGTCATCCTTAGCCTTTTTCTTAGCCTGTTTCTGTTCTGCCTGCATTTAATGATGCATGCCAGTGCAGCCACACGAGTTTCTCTTTCACTTATCCCCCAGACCGTGTTTATGAAACCGGCCTTTTAACTTTTCTGCTACATTTTTCTGGATTAACCTGCAGGTTAAATTGAAATGGTCTAGTTTGATCACTCTGGGTCTGGAACATTTTAAGAAAAATTTTCAAAGAAAATGGAAGGTCATTATTTCAGGTCTGGAAATCTTTATTTTATTTTGTAAACTAGGCTAGTTCTAAATCCCTAAAATTAATGTTTTATAAGTATTGTGTTAATACATTATGTAGATCATGTTTTGTGTCTATGCTTTAGGTTTTTTGTAAATTAGACCAGATCAAGTTGAACTGAATTAAAGAAAAAAATCATGGGGAAACAGCATCATAATGACCAAGGAACAATTCCGAGAGGACATGTATAAAGTTGTTAATTGATATATAGCATGGTTAAAACTAATTAATAACTACCTGTACCTAAACTTTTAAAGAATAACCCTTCATACTGTTCAATCTATCATGCAGAAATATGAAATGAATATGTCACAACTGAAAACCTACTAAGATATGGGTGTCCAACTTAACTGCTAGAGCACAAAGATAGTCAATCAGAAAAGCAGCCAAGAGGGTCATGGTTATCAAATGTGGCCATTACATACAAGCGGAAAAATCCTTGATGATGTCAAATACCATGCACTCTCTGCATTTTGTTCCAAACCAGGCTGTAAGCACAGCAAACATGTGAAAGAAGGTTCTTTTGGTCAGAAGAAACTCCAATTTAATATGACCTTCATACAAAGTGTTCCTATTGTAGAGTGAATGCAACCACAATCAGCACATCAACTTGTCACAACAAATTACGGGTCTTCATAACTATCAAATACTGGATCTTTTTACGTTAATTATGAAGAATAAAAAATAATAATAAGATACCTCTATACAGTGGTGTCAAAAGTACACACATTTGTTATTTAAGTAGAAGTATAGACACTGCAGTTTAAAAATACTCTGGTAAAAGTGGAAGTACTGATTAAACTTCTTTACTCAAGTAAAAGTAACAAAGTACAGGCTTGTAAATTTACTTAAAGTATAGAAGTATAAAGTACATTTTCAAATAAACAGCACTATATGAATTGAAAGCTCAATTTTTTGACTATTTCGAAAAATTCCTTGAGACAGGGACAAGGATGAGGGAGGTCTTGTTGGTCTCCATCTCCCGATAAGCTCTCTCCTGTGTCCGACCTTTCAGACATTTCAACATCTTTTTCTAAATCCGACATTGTAGCATGGCATAGACAATTCACGTTTGCAGTTTGAAGAACACCTTCTTGCTTCTGATGATTTAGCAAACCTTAACCCTTAGCGTCAGCACAAATTTGATGAATGAGTGTTTGCATTATATGACTCATCCAATTCCACTAGTTTTCACTAGATGTGGATGGCGCCATTGATCTGCATTGGATGGCACACATGACGTGAAATAAATATTTATAAACAATAAACTGAAGCTAAAAGTAACGAGTAACGTTTGTTTTAAAAATGTAAGGAATAGAAAGTACAGATAGTTTTGTGAAAATGTAATGAGTAAAAGTCAGAAGTAGGAAGAAATATAAGTAATGAAGTAAAGTATAGATACCTAAAAAGTGTACTTAAGTACAGTAACAAAATATTTGTACTTCGCTACTTGACACATCTGCCTCTATACAACATCCATTCTCTAGGGCTTTGAGTTTTTCAATTGGACCAGCTAAGTGAACTCCACACTTTTCAGATTTTCTTTGGTAAAAATGTATTTGTAAAACTATACCATTGTTTTTAACTGATACAATATCCCATGCAAAAATATTTGTGGTTAATGTGAAACGTGAAAAAGGTTCTTTTTTGACTTCTTGGTGCACAAGATATGCCTGGTTCAATTTATTTTTAATACTTTTTTATTTTTTATTCTGCTTACCATCATGGGCATCCATAAAATGACTCGAAGAACAGCCAGAATCATAGAGAAGCGCTTCTGCGCGAACACAACAGGTGTATCCCCAACTGAAGCTTCTTCCCCCCGCCCACTGCCAGACACGGGGGAAAGACGGCCGTCTTCTTTCTGCCTAACTCCTGTCCCAGAAGAACTCGGGCTCATTTCGTTGTAGGCACTGAAACTTCTGTCCATGCTGTCCCGAGAGAAGGACGGCAGCTCACAGAGCGCAGCAGAGCCGCTCAGCCCCCTGGCCATGTCCAGATAGCTCGAGTAGAGTAACGTCCTCTGAGGCTCTCTGGAGCACAGCAACTGATACGTGAGGGGAATAAAGAAAACCAAAAAGCCGCAAAAACACATGAGATACAGCGAGAAGAGCAGCACGGTGTAAAAGCTGTCGCTCTCCGGGAAACAGCCCAGAGAGGCTGGAGTGAAGCTGCCCCATCCGCACAAAGGCAGCATGCTGACGGCCAGGCTCACCGCCCACACACCGCCGATAGCCCACAGGACTCTCAGCGGCCGGCGTGAAGACTGAAGCACCCCGAATCTCTTGGTGACATAAAAAGTGTAAGCTGCTATTAAGCAAGCCTTCATGTTGCTGGAAACCCCCTGGAATACATAGAGGAGTCCGGACAGGGTGCACAGGCTGCCCGACCCTTCACCCCACCGGGTCTCCCACTGCAGGAGCATGAAAAGGGAAAGAGGAATGACGCTCAGCAGGTCATCCACCGACATGGAAGCCACTATGACACACAGCGAGGTTTTCCTCCTCATCCGAAGGAGCGAAAGGAGCGAGTACACGCCTCCAACTAAGGTGGCGGCAGCTATGGTTACGCACAAGCCGAAAAGCAGGAGCTTGATCCGCGTCTCCATCCCGGAGCGGTCCGCTGTGTCAGAGCTGGGCGTGAAGAGATGGCTCTGGTTGGGCGCAGGGGAGCTTTCGTGCGTCGTTGACATTTTAGTTGATTTAGTTTGGACTCTTAGAAATAGATGAGCATTAAAGTTTGACAAGCTGCAAAACGTGCACTTTATTTAAAAAATATATATGATAAAAATCACAGTGGAAGGAAGGTTAGAGAGCGCACCATCCCTCTGTTTTCTATCTGGGACTGCGCGCCTATCCAAACCCTTCCCTGCTCCTCTCAGTGTGTTCTGCTGGTTACCCTGACGGCTGACTGGGAGGCAGGCACTTGTGTTCACCGCTCACACAGCGTAACCGTAGCATCTCTGGTTTCCAGCGGCCGGTTTACGCGCTGTCGTCATCACCGTATCCTCTCACGGCAGTCATTAGGGGGGGTTGAGCCTAACGCAGCCCACTACCAGCGTGGAAACGGTGCATTGGACAGCTGTTTCATTTATGCCCCCTGGCTGGAGTCATTTTAGGGGTCAGTCCAATAATGCTACTCCAAGCTGGATGAGACTCATTTTGCTACATCTGCATACTAATGAAAGAGAAGTACAGGCATTTTCTTCAACATGAATAAATGTAAAGGTTTGGTGTTGTTTTAAAAGAGACAAACACTTTGTGTTTTTCTAAGCTGAGGAAGTATGTTTATGGTGATCTTATTTGAAAGAAGGTACCATACAAAAGATAAATGTTTTCAAAAATAGATTTTTTCCCCCCAAGCTCCTTTGTGTTATGCCCACTGAATTAACACTTTACAAAACGACACAGCTGCAAATATTGGTATTTTTCTCTCAAATCTGTCGCCTAATGGAGGTCTGGTGCATTCGCATCTGCAAAAACTGAACCTAATTTAGATAAGATAGAGAACTGTAAACCCTTTTTTAAATTCCTGCAATATATTCTTTTTATTCTTTTTTTTATTAGACTTGACCAACGTGCACATATATTTTGAACTAAAATGTTCTGTTGCATGTTTAGCTGGACAGTATGTATTTACCATATAACTGACACTTTATCTCTTCTCCAGTCTCTGCTAGTAAATAGCCTCCCCACATTAATTTTGCTGTCATCTGTATTTCTCGCCATTGTCATCATGTTTATTCATTGATATCAGGAGGTGGCTTAGTATCATAAGTCAAGAAGTTCATTTTTTTCTGATTTGGTCAGAGAACTGTCTTCCTTGTTAATTGCCTAGTGAATTTCCTTGTTAAGATAATTGTATTTTGTTTGTTTTTAGAGTTATGGTCAGGGCCTTTAAATGAGTGTTTAGATAATGAGTGTTTAGATAAGCTAGATATAGACTTGTTGTTTTTCTCTTTTTTTGTGTTAACCTCTTTCCATAGGAAACATAATAGAAGGTGTTATATCAACAGGGTCAAAGATTCATTTCGAGTAGCCACTATTAATTAAATAACACAGTTATTTTCATTATAACAGCATGGTAAATCTCAGACATCTACAGCACAAACAGTGAACATTTTTAGTCAAAGCGTTATTTATTAAATTTAGTCTACACATACAAGGACTGGTTATCTTGACTTTGTAATTATAAGCTTATATTTATATCAGTATAAGTTGTAGACAGCGGAGTCCGCTCAGAAATTGAATGACCCCCCCACTTGCTCACCAACTTGTGATCTCTACTTTTGCAGCTCTGTTAGCATAGATTTGTAAAAAATAAAATAACATAATAAAACAGATAGCACCCAAGCAATGACATATTCTTGCTAATAATGCGTAAGGCAGTTGATTGGTCTCTAGCCATTTGCCTGCCTTATCTACATTGCAGTCTTAAAGCTAAAGTGTTTAATAATTACCTAGATTTACAAATTGAAAATCTCAATCTTTATGTTTGTGTTGCCTTATAGATTGCTATTTGTAAATACAATGCAGTAGGTCTTGCATTTATGGAGGCAGTCATCTTTACATTGCGGCAAGGCAGAGCTGACAAACTGTAGTTGATTTAATTATAAATAGCGATGTCTAAAGCAACACAGACAAAGATTGAGACCTTTAGTTTTTAGATGATAATAGATGACATTCTTATGCATAATATATTACATTTCTGTCAAGAAATCCCTGTAATTATCACACACTGTAGCCTCAATGTTGCAGCATTGCTAGCTATTACTCAGTATAATATAAAAGAAAGGGACTTTTAAGTTAACTGGGTTTGAACAAGCATGCACTGGACTCAATCAACCAACCAGATCTTTTTTTTTTTTTTATAAAGGTAAGTAAAAGGTGTAATAAGCATAACTTCTGTAATTGCATTTAAGCATTGTTTGGGGTGACCTGGACTTAAAAAAACAACAACATAACATTAAATAGAAATTGACAATTTTTAAGTAAAATTGACTTATATGAAATAAATATTACTTACAAGCCTTTAGGTTCACAACAATGATATTTTCATACTACTTCCTTACATAAAAAAAAGTTTGTCTAATTGACTCCAATTTGAGGTAATCAGTTTGCATATACATTTTGATTTCAGTTAACTTACTCAGGTTTGCATTTTTTCAAAGTTGCCCTTAGAGGATGCATTATGTGTGATCACTTCTGGGGATAAAAGAGGTACATGAGTACTAAAGAGCCTGACTGCAATCATGGTGCATTCACTTTGACAGTGCAAAACTTCTTGTCTGTGTTTCTTTCAAGATTAGTTTAATTTTTGCAATCCTTTCATAAAACTTTCGGAGTGCAAAACTAATAGTTATGTTGACTGATACTCCTACCTGAACTATGGATGTTTTTAGCATGTCCTACTGTTGCTCTCCTTGCTCAACCAATTGGTTTAGCAATTAATTGGTGTTTAAAGATAATAGACAGAAACAGTGCTCATTTGGATATTTAAAGCTTGGGATATTGTTTTATCAACTTACTAAGCTTTAAATTTCTGTTTTTTTATGCTTGACCTGTCTGCTCTGTTTCTTTTTCCTAAAAGTCCAACAAATCATTAAGCCCTTCATACAACAGCTTAATTTCTACTAAGAGGAAATTACACACAAAGTTATTCTTTTCCAATATTTTGTGACTTATTAAGCCATAATAATATAAGCAATAGTTTTCACCAGACTTGATTTCGGTGGTCCCAGAGTAAAGGAGGCTAATTGCAAATCAGCAAAACTTGTATAGAGTCTGTATAAAATAAAATATTTATAAAGCCTTCACTTTTTTTCCCAGATTCAGATGGTGAGCAGACCACAGAATAACAAAAACATATAAAGTATTTAATTCACTGCAGTTTTTGATTGGAAACAATTGTAGAGCTTTCCAGATTGGAGTAGGTTCTTTACGCTCCGTAGTACCAATTTGAAGGTTTGCTGCTGCATTCTGTAGAGTTTTTGCTGCTGCATTCTGTAGAGTTTTTGCTGCAAATCTAGACCAAAATGTGAAGTTTAACAGAATTAGTAAAAAGAAAATTAAATTTAAATGGGTTTCAACAGTAAACCGCCAATACGTGGAAATGGATACTCTCTGACAAAGAGGTTAGGATTGCATTTCCCTCCCTTTGAATTTGTCATTAGAGAGTAGAGGCATTTACAAAGCAAGATGACAAAGGTAGCACTATATAATAATGAAATTAAAAGAGAAAATTAACCTTGCTTCACACACCCTAATGAAAGCTGTCCCACAAAGTTAATCATAATCCTGTTTGTCACAGAGACATAGGAGTTCAAGTGGTGATTAATAAGGCTGATGTTTAATGAGCTAAAGGTTGAAGGGGGACAACATTAATAGTTTAAGCCAGCTAAATAAATCCCCCTGTAAAAAAGCTTGACTGTGAGAGCTTGAGAGTGTCTGCATCTGCGTGTAAATCCTTGTCTCATCTCTCCCTGTGGTGTTCAAGGATGTTTAGGCTGAAGGACTCCTCACTATGCCCGAGCAGTTCATGGGTGTTCATTCATTCCCTTCTGGTTCAAAAATAGCAATGCTTGGTGTGCTGTGTTTATTATTACAGGAAGATGTGCCCTTAGATCAGGACATATAAAGGTTATTTATTGTTAAAACCTCTTTTATTAAATTATTCTTATCTATTCCAGTTCCAGACATGATTTGATTGCAAAACATGATTTTGAATGCACCTGACCTAAAGTAAAATTACATTTGAGTTGAGCTAAGTGACTTGCAGCCAGCCTAATAATTCAGTTCTTTTAGGGGCCATGCGGACACACATAGGGAGAGAACAGGACAAACACATAATCTACAAGCATACATAAACACCTAAATACACACAACCACACCCCTACAGACTGAGAGCTGTTTCACACATCAGTGTGACCTACTTTGTGTGATTGTGTGTTTATGCATCAACGTGTGTTGCATGCATAGTTCCTTCATGTGGGGAAGAAGGTAAGAGCAGGATTTTACAGACAAGTAAACTGGAGAGAGAGTGGGTAAATATGATGAAAGTGGACCTGTTACGTAATTTGAAAAGCTATGTGAAAAGCTAATACCCTGACAAGTCGCAACTAGTCATCTATATGGATTTACCCTCAACATTAAAAATGAAGAGACAATTGTGGCATGCCAGGGAAATTAATGAATGCAAATGGTTATGAGCATCATTATTTGATTTGAATTGAAGTTATCAAATAAGGAACAATAATTACCGAAAGCAACAAACAGTAACAATATTTGTTACAACCAGTATAGCTTCTAAACAGAGCAGAATCTGTTAGTTCAATCTCTAACGTTATGCTGTCTCTGCTTTTTCTTATAGTAGCTTTGCCTCGTCTGTTCCTTTTTGGCTGTGACACCATCCTGGAGATAAATATCAGCTGTGTTGCTGCCATCAACAGCCTTGTTTATAGATGTTGGAGATCGACCTGTTTTCCAGTGTAGTCCTGTTTCTCTGACTGTGACTGGCTGGATGTGCTCTCTTCATCCTCTGACATGGGAACTGGCTTGGAGCTCGTCTGCCTCGCTGTGTGTTTCCTGGACAGGACCGCCTTTTATAGCTGCTTTTTGTATCTCTGCTTCTGTCTCCTTTAACCCCAGTTGGCCTCGGCAGATGGCCGCTCACACTGAGCCTGGTTCTGCTGGAGGTTTCTTCCTGTTAAAAGGGAGATTTTCCTCTCCACTGTCGCTACAAGCATGCTTAATGTGAGGGATTGCATTTGAGTCAATGAGTCGACGCAATCAACTGGTTTTCCTTAGAAAGAAAACTTTGAATCAATTTGACCGTATGATCTGGTTAAACTGTAAAGTGCCTTGAGGTGACATGTGTTGTGAATTGGCAC